GGAAATAGAGCTCAAGAACATACATTTACAGATATTGGTGACAGTGAACCTTATGATTTACTCTACTCTGAACATAGGCATCAGACACTTAATGAGAAGAGACGCCAACACTTGGAGCTAGATAACTCCAAACATACGAAAACTTTCATACGTTTCCCTCATTTACGTCAGGTGAAAGTAATGGCTGAGCTTTGAAACGATAAACACGACTGTACTAGGCAAAATATGTAGCGGTTTGAACACCTTACACATGCATACACGTCCTTTTGCAGAAACTCAAGATAGGTTTCAGTGTCGGGAAGCCTGGTGATTGCCGCGGTACCTCATTCAAACCTCTCTTATTAGAACAGAGACGTTATAAGGCCGATGCGTTGGAACCTAAGAAATTACAGAATTACTTGAGTAATTTTCATGCACCAAATGATGAAAATTAAACAATGGGTACTGAAAAAGCTTTAAGGCGCAACAGTTCGTTTCAATACTACACCTTGAATAAGTGATATAGTGATATATATATATAAGTGATATATATATATATATATTGTAGTTATTGTATGCATCGACCCGAAAAGTGACCGGCACGGATGCCTAGCTCCTTCAAACCACGTAAGATAATGGTTATCGCTAATATTAACAATGCTGAGTACGCGTAGCTACAGTAATACTTCCAATCGCTTTTGAACATTTAGTAATAGAAAATTGCAATCGCTGACAGTTATCAAAATTGTTTGACTTGTGACGTAAAACTGGAGACAGTCTGATGATAAAGACTTCCTTTGGGATGATGTATTAGCAGAACATGGAGTTATTTTCACGTCTAGACGATTCAAGACAAGCAACTATTGCGAAATAGATACGCTTGTAACAGAAATTCGAAAAATTAGATCCTAAGTCAGTCAGTTTTTTTAATCATTAAACAGAGCGGGGGAAGCTACAGGCAGCAATAACCATGATTCATGCCCCACGAGAAGCTTCGGTAAAATGTTGCGTACAAACGAATAATTTTGACGAAGAAAAGTGGCAAACCTAATGGTACCGCTTCAAGGAAGACAACTGGCATCTGAAGGCTCCAGGCCTGAAAAATTTTGACAAAAGTAGATTACTCTCACGGAATAAAAACCCAGTATCCTAGACTATTGTTTGACCGTATACAAAAACAAGCCACGAAAACACTTTAAAATTACTCGTGAGTATGTACTCCGCCAACACGGTGGAATTGTCAAACGGCACCGTAGCTAAAGTCCAAGGTTGAAAGTTATTAAAATTTTGCACCTTGTCTCCCAATATAGTTTTAGATTGGTTCATTTCAAAATCCAGCAGTTAACTTCGGTAATGCGAGTATCAATAACAGAAGGTCCAGCAAATTCCATGAAGAAAAGACGATGGTAGGAAAATGTGAGTAAATATCAATGACGTGGAATACACAATTTCATGTAACACTCAAAACAAGTTAAGTCCAAACTCCTACAATGAGTCTTTTTTTCAAGGGATAGCCATTTATCCAAATGTAGTAGGAAAGAGAGATTCGTGTAAAAATATACGAAATTATAAAATTCACGAATTTTCACAATCGATACCCGTCACTACTATACTTTGCGACAACACGGCAAGGTCCGGATGGAGAGAATGGACGAAAATAGGAGGTCGTCGTTGAGACTTCGTTCCACTCCTTTATCGTCAAGCAGGAGAGAAAGGCGTTTTTGACGTGCGGGCATAGAAATCGCGCCGGCGCCGGTGCCAACAACGAGGTGAATTAAGCCATGGGATTCGAGTAGCTCACAAACGCTCACAAACTCATCCATCTGAAGAGGCGAAAGATTGCCTCGTTGTGCACAGACGTAGACGTACACGTCGAACACCTGACCCATCGAAGTCTCTTTAATGCCCCGCAGCCGACGAAGTAGAAGACAGGCCGCCAGCACTAACTTGTGATGCAGAGGCATCCCGCCAGAGGCAGAGACGCAGGCACCTCTGCTAGTTACTACACTGCCACCAGACTTTCGGTTGCATGTTGGCACCAAGCAAAAGCAAAATCATGATCAGTTAATAACAATTACAGTTTTCATGGAGTATGAATGTAGCTAGATCACAGTAAAGCAAAAAGTACAGGAAAGTTTTGATCAACAGATGTCGAAAATAAACATAATACCTGAACCTCCTGAATGGCTTGACTAATGTGGCGAACCATTGGTATGGCCAGGTTTTCCTCACTCTCCACAGAACTTTCAGCGAGAGCACACCTCTTCCTTAGGGATGTACGTACGGACGGGCTAGACATTATGCGCTTTTGAAGTGGTGTGACAGTACGACCAGTGATGGTTGTTTCATAAGTAACCTTTAAATCAGCGCCATTTGCAAGTCTAGCTTCCAACCGAGCCAACTCCAGAGCGCGTCGACACACCGCCAATGCTATCCTCACATCACCCGAAGATGCTGCCACCTTTTGAAAAGAAGGCTCTTAAAAACTGATATTCAAGACATTTGAGGGTTCATTTAGTGTTGAAAGATTTATTCCACTTATTACTTAATAACTTAACTAACTGATTAACCATATTTTCATTCAAACCTTTTTTGCACAAAATTGAACGGCTACATTATCCAGAGATGGTTCGAAAATCCCAGTAGCAACATTCACAAGGCGAGAACAAATTATCCTCGCAATCTGATCCATGGAATAAGGAGGAAACA